AAGCCTCTAAGGAGAAAATGCCGAAACTGTGGCTGTCAAGAGGTCATGAGGAATTCTGAGGCTAACAAAAGCCTATTTATTTAAGTCTATGAGAAGAAAGTGGACAGCTTGAGCGCAGTAGCCTTGACAGCAGTGGGAATCCCTTGTCATTTCCCAAGTTCCACACACGCACACACACACACACACACACACACACTCACAGGCCCATGTAAGACGATTATTCAGTACTGCTTGTCAATTGTACCTTTTCAACCTGGATCAATGAGTCATCTTGCACCAGGGGCCTGTATCAGCGGCAGTCATTAACATGTGAGTGCCACTCTATCAGCTCCAGCTCCAAATAAATCAAAGGGTTGGCCACAGAAGAAAAGGGGCTAATATTTCCTCAATAACCCCAGAGAGACACCATGGAGGGATGCAAATTGCCTCCCAGGAGAGCCCGGGGAATGTGAAGGAGAAACTCGCTGGGAGGCAACGGGAAGCTAATGAGTATAATGGTAAATGTATACAAGGAGAGGGAGGAAAACCCTCTCTATTCATACCAATTAATACAATCTTATCAATGGAGGTGTACTGTAAAAAGGAGGACCCGTGTCTAACCCCCTGCCCTCCTCCCCGTTTCCACCTTGCAAGCGTCTGTATTATTCAACACGGGCCAGGCTACGGTCATTAGGCCTGTGGGAGGCTGGGCCAAGCCTGGGGAGTTAAGGAGATTTTAAAAACCACTCACTCCTCACATCAAAACAAATTGGGCCAAATCAAAGGGGCTCAAAAATGTCCTTTCTTCGAGGGGCGAAGGAGAGAACTGCCAGGGCTGCAAAAAGCCCTCTTTCTGCAACGTCAATGTACAAACACATGTAAAAATAAAAGATAGCAGAAGTCGAAGAAGTTTGGTCATGTAGTGCTGCATTTGCAGAAAAAGGATTACCAATAATCTTAATGAGGTGATAAGTTATATATATATATATATATCAGTGGCAGTCATTAACATGTGAGTGCCACTCTATCATATATATATATATATATATATGTGTGTAATTAATTACTTATGAAATGATGGCAGTGACACCTTGAATTATGGTGCTTAGCAACTAACCTTTAAGATTTTTTTCCTATCATCTTATCTTATTAGCCAATTGTTTTGGAGTGCCAAAACAGGAACAAAAAATCCTAAATATATACAGTATATGATCCCTTTTCATGAGCAGTTATTTTAGGAAAACAAGTTTCCTTTAAATGTAGTAAAACATACCACAATTAACCCTTAAATTAACCCTTTGGAATTTTCTTGTAAAGAAACAAAGTTTTGCTTTCATGCAACGTGCACAACAAAAACTAAAATGGAGCCCACACATTAAAACACTGCTCCACAGCGCTACTAGTGGTCACAACCTCCACAGTGTTCCTTAAAGTTACCTCTGACTCTATAGGGCCTTTCCACTGAAGAAAAACTGAGCAGGATGTAGTTTAGGGAAGCATTTGCACTATCTGAAAGGGTAGTTCAGATCTGAAAGGGTAGTTCAAATGCTATTCCTTCTTTATATGTTTCAAAAGAATAAGAAATAGACAGAATGCCTCAAAGTATCATTTTGAAGGTCAGTTATTAGGGTGGAGAAATATACCTGACAGCAGCTGACTGGAGGAGGATTTGCCTCCTAGAGATCACCAAGGGGACCGAAAAGAAGGTTAATCACCATATAACTTTCTACATGTATAATCCTATACTCCAGATTTCGTTGAGCATGTCTGTAAAAGCCCTCTGTCAGCATAATTGCGCCTAACCTGTGCCCCGTGTGCTCAAATCTCTAAAATATCACATCCAACTCTGAGAATAAATGGGAAATTAATGAGGAAAGTGCTGAGCTCAACCTTAGACAGGTATCACAGACAGGGTTCGTTGTCTCACAGCTCATGAACAATAGAAGCTCACTAATCCGAAACCCTCAAAGACAGAGATTGTTTGGACTTGTGAAATGTTCAGGGGGATAAATACAAGATGAGATTAATTTGACATTCTTGCAGACTTGGGCACATCTACCTCAGACCTGAAGTATAACAGAAAGGTACAGATTGTTTTGACCTGCCTGGTAATTTGGATTTAAATTTAAATGTGCTGTTTGACA